GTATTAACGCCGCCCCCTCTCCGCCCCTCCCCGAACTGCTATTTACTGTAGGAGCCTAGGGGGCGCACGTTAGTGCTACTCAGGGTGAGAGACCGATGGGCTGGAGAAGTATAAGCTGGGCTGTGGTTTTCCATGCTCGGATAGTTCACTTAGTAATATGGGTCCAGCTCTAGACCAGAAAAGTATAATAGTGCTATATCACCATTGTTCTAGAGTGAATAGTACCTCCATGGTATACATAGACCACATGTCTATGAATTCCATGCTTGAAGGGAGGGCACTTGGGCGGTCCCAGCCTGGCGATGTATGAATGGCTGCTATGGAACAGTCGAGTGCAGTGGTCTTTTGTGTGAAGAGTGTCATGGATCTTTGGAGAGGCCCAGCAATGGAGGCGGAGGTGCAATGAGTGGTAGATTCCCACTTGAGGCGCTTGTAAGGTGAGCTCCATATTGCTTTCCACAGTCAGGTGTGAAACGAGTTGGCAGTGCGCCACCAGCTGAGGTAGGAGTGGCTGCCTTCGCGCGCGACATGCCACGCGCAGCAGGGTGTTAGCGTGGAGACTGTTTGGTTAGTAAGGCCAGGCCGTAGGAGCGAGAGAGGAGATTCTCAGTGGGTTGAGTGGGGGCATTTCCCGATGATTAGGGAGGTGAGCATGTGTTTTGGCATAGGGTTGTGGGCATTCTTCGGTCTGTGCTGAGAAAAGGGCGGTTCAGGCGGGGCGCCACTGTAATAGGTTATTTGATTTTGTCTTGCTGATTTTCGGGAGTTCTAGAGTATGGATTCTGAGGTAGCAGCCCTTTAGCGGTATACGTAGGATGCAGAAAATTGGGGGTCTTCCCATGTGCTGTTAGTGCGGGACTTTCCGAGGAGGCGGGGGCAGAAGCTGGGTAGTTTGGCGACATGGCCAGGGATGTTGTGCTGGCTGTTGAGTGCCTTGGGATTGCTTCATAAACGCGGCCTAGGCCGTATGGGTCGAGGAGAGGGGGTTGCCTAATATGGTTTATATACATACATAACGAGTGATATGCGCACCATCTGAGGGATGGTCATGCTGGAGACTCAGACTTGTGGGGGGAGGGGGGGAAGGGCATTTATTGAAACTTTAAAATCTGTACCCCCATAATATGCCGAAATAAAAAAAAAAACACTTAACTATGGTTGTCAATTTCTGCTCAATGGAAGCACATTTCATGTCTAAACTCAATAAATGTAATAAATATATGTAGCAAATTCTACAATTACTTCATTCTACATGTAAGGAAACTAAGGCTCACTTTGGTTGAGTCACTTGCATAGGTCACATAACTAGTAAGTAGAGTTAGGATTTGACTCTGTGTATCTTGAGATTATGCTCTTAACCAGAAAAAGGATGAAGCCATCAGGAGGTAATATAAGTGTTAAATACTTACATAGTTTCTGGCGTAAAATGTAAGTATTCCAAGTTGAGGTTATCTAGGTCCTCACTTTTGAGAGAAGATATAAAAGATAGATTACTACCACAAGTACCTAGGCACAAAAGACATCACCTTGGTGTCAGATGCAAACAAAAAAAGCCCTTCCCCCACTTATATTTCATCCTATTTTCTCTGTGGGACAAGGTCAAGCTCAATGATCTTCTCCTAGATAACATTCAGGGTTTTCATGTGAAAGAGGGAGTCTCTTAGATGGATAGGGACTCCCACTAAGAGAATAGTAAGGTTGGGATGAGCTGCTTGCCTACTCGCAGTGAAAACAGCTTCAAATCTTGGGCTTCATCAGGACAGAGTTTTCAAAGTTCCTGATGGAGTCATTACTCTGGATGTTGGCATGGGATCTTATAGTGTGAGATTTCTGGGAAAGAGGGAGAGGTATCCACTGCAGGATTATGGCTAAGAGAGTATTCACGAAAAACAAATATTTATTCTTTGGGAACTAGGCAACAGCGACGAAGGCTAGAGTAAGAGAAGAAAAAGATCCTTACCATGTCTTGGGCTCATCTGGTTAATATCATCTGAGTCATCTTCCAGGAAGAAAGTTGAAGCAAAGTTCTTAATAGATATTGTCTGTCTGCTTTCCTCATCCAGAACTATAGAGAAAAAATGGGAGGAAGGAGGGAAAGAAGGAAGGAAAGGAAGGAGGGAAGGAGAAAGGAAGGAAAGACAGAGGGAGAAAGAGAAGAAGAAGAGAGGGAGGGGGGATTGATCACATTTATTAATCATTTATTGAGCATCTATTTTGCTTAGTTAATGCCAATCAGTGTGTGAGGAGATGATACAGACTCCCATTTGACCATCACCTTTCCTCCACGGTCTGTTTGTAGTCCCACCTTCCTTACGGTTTGCTACCATGTATTCATATTCATGCCTGAGTTTTCTCTGTTATACTGGATATTCTTTTTCTGTCACCCAGTACATGTGATTGTGAGTAGAAACTTGGGGCTGGGGATGGGGGGGATCAGGGTGGGAAACCCTCTGCTCTTCTACCTCCATTCTATTAGTTCATTTATTGACATGGCTTTTGTCCAGAATTGAGCCTCTGGGCCCATGCCACACTTTCACTCAATTGACTCACCCATCCCCAGAACATTTGAGAAATCTCCTTCCTTTTTCTAGCCTATGTGTTGTATAGCTCAGGGCTCGCTCATACCAAAATTCAGGTTCAATCTCTACCCTACCAGGGCTGCCTTTCTCTGTCCTGGCACCAGAAGCTGTACCTCTAAATCTAACATATGTGTTGATGGAGCAGACTGAGGGTTGGTTGTGACAAAGTTATGGCTATATCAGATTAATCTGATCTTTACTGCTTGGAAACTTTAGAAATAGAAGCAAACTGACTAATTCTTCCACAATGCAGAAGGGAGATTTCCTTTCTTTCTTGGAAACTTGGCTGATATACTTAAAAGTACTGAGGTGGAGCAAGATACCGTGGCTAAAAGTCAAAGGACAGACGAAGGGACTTCCTTGCTGCATGGGACTTCTGCTTAATTTCAGTAACTCAGTTAGAACACACTTAGTCTTATGCTACCATCTGTTTGTCAATGAAGTGTTTTGGGGAAGAAATGATCCCCAAAATGTTAAATGAAGAAGTTGGGGGAGTTGAAAGAGTTTTCATACTGAGTTGGAAAGTTTGCAGACTGTCATAATTTCTGGGCAATGGCAATCAATGCTAGAACCATCAGGACCACTGTCAGGGTCGTTGTGCCTGATTAATACTGTGCAAGCCATGCAGAGATGAACACCATTTTCTTTATAAAATAGTCACAGGTTTGGTGGTTGGAAAGAAACAAGAGCAGGTAGAAATAATTCCATGGCTGCTGGTGGATGCTGACAGAGCTTTGAGCCAGGCCACTTAGCATCCGTCCTTGTTTACAATGAATGTTGGTCCCCAAAATAAGTGAGTAGCAAAAGTTGAGGGCCTGGGGTAGGAGGAGCCAATAGGGCAGCTTATCAGGACTGAGGCTTCTCAAATCAGCAGTGTAAACACTGACTTTGGATGCAATATGCATACAGAATCTAGTCAAGTTTTAGTAGTGGAGTCAGCGAACCCAGAGTGAGGGAGACCAGTAAACCATCCACCAGAACCTTCTCTTTCTCCTACCTCAGTCACTACAATCCTGGACACCTTACCTTGTTCAACTTGGAATATGATGAGTTTCAAGGATTTCTGGAGATTCTGGGCCTTTGTGGCCAGCTCCAACTTGCACTTGGTTATGTGGTCTATTTGAGGAACGAAGGGCTTTCCATCTGCCTTGCTGCTGTCTGTGCTCTTCTCAGCAGAGGTAGCTGCTGACTCCCCAGCCAGGACATCAGTCAGGACACTGAGCTTATCATACATTATATCACTCTGTATAGTGAGGAAGGAAATGAGACGTTGTTATGAGGGACCAGTGTTTGAGAGAGCAGAATGAGGAGCGGGGGTGGTATGGGGAGAGGAGGGGTTGGCCAGGAACACTGAGCACAGAAAGAACATATTGGGAGATGAAGTATATGGGGAAAAAAGTTGGGAAGATGTGATGAGATAACCAAAGGGTGTTAGGGGATCAAATATATGTCATTTGTTTCTGAGCAGCCCTGGCATCAATGTATATTGCCAAGTTTTTCTCGTCTCAGACTGGCCTATAAAATAATGTGTGATATGGTAAACTTGAGGAAAGATAAATGTTTCTAGACTGGAGTTTTCATGGGCATGCTCCTATGGATGTGGATGTGCTCTGCGTGGGTGCTTGGGGTCTGCCTTTGTGGCTAGGTTTGGGGACCTACATCTGCTACAGGATTTAAGGCTTTGATTCCCAGTTCTATCACTTAATGGTTTGTGACCTGAGGCAAGCTACTAAACCTTTCTTTGCCTCTATATTCTAGGGCAGTTGTGAGGATTAGATAAATTAATACATTAAGAGCATTCAGAATAGTCTCTAGCACAGAGTAAGTACCATGTAAGTGTTACCGTTGGTATAGAGGTGAATGTGGGCATGTTTCTAGTGTGTATCTGTATGTGGACATTTTCAAGTATGTTGTATACAACCATGTGAGTATGTGTTTGGTGTGCACTATGTCTAGTTGTGGGCAGATGCTAGTCATATGTTTAGGTACATGGCATGTGTGTATGCACGCATAGTACTATTCTTCATTTGGCAAAAGATGGAAGTTTGATGAAGTTGGACATTTTGTATCAGGGAGGCTTACCAGCTGCCCCTCCTTGCCTTTCTTTTACAATTACCAGTGAAAGGCACATTTGCTTTTGTCAAAAAGGGGCCCTTGGCTCCACAAAAAGAATAACACAAAAAGAATGGAAACTTACTTTCAAAATCACAGACTCTATTGCTATATTGTTCTGTTTTATCTGACCCCAGGCCTTCACAATATCAGCCACAAAATCTTCCACTGCTGAACACAGGAATCTGGAAAGATAAGATAGATGGCATGTTGTGACATGGGGCCTGAGGTCCAGAGTCCTTCTTTCTTATAATGTCATCAGTCTCCATCTTTCTCCTCCTCCTCTCTGTTTCCTTATCTCTCCTGCCTCCCTCTCTCTCCCTCTCCCCCAGGTCTCTCTTTCTCTCCCTCTCCCCCAGGCCTCTCTCCCTCTCTGTTTTTTTTTTGTACATATGGTGAAATATGCTCTATCTCCACTTCAGTCCAGTTTCACACCACTTCCCAAGTCAAATACTTGAGTTTGACCAGCGTTTCTTAGTACTAATTCTGAATTTCCATAAAAGACAATTCGCTTGGTCCAACTTGGGTCAGATTTTCACCCCTGGTCAATCCGTTATGGTTCAAGGGCCCAGCTAATTTAGTACTAACATAACAACATCGGGAGAACTCTCTCCGTGGTGAGTGTTTCTCAGAGGACAGTGTGGTAGACTGTACAGGAACACCCCTTGCAAAGAACTCCCAGAAGGAACAAATACCCACATGTTTAGAAGAGGAGAATATGTTGCTCAGATTATGAGAGAGCAGCTATAGGTAGGTACTACAAAGACCTTTCCTGGTGTCAAAGATGGAAAACAAGGTGTCTGTACTGCAGGGAGCTAAGCTATGCTCTTGAATGATCTAGAATGTTGTTTCCCTTCTGTAACCCTCTTTCAAAATCTCTGGCTTGCAATTTTGTCTTTTTAGAGCAGCAGGGGCCTCAATTTCATCTTTCTTTCTAAACTTTCCATTCAGGAGGTTTGAATTGGGAGAAGCCTGATTTGGGAAGATAAATATATACATTCCTTGGCCTCAACACCCTAAACTATCAAAATAAACATGATATCTGACCTGGGAACAGCCCGTGAACAGAAAAATCACCCCAAAGGATGAGAGCCAAAGGAAGACTGACCTGGTTGCGATGATTATCTCCGTTGGGTATTTGGCCTTCAGGATTTTGTTCAACTCAGTGGCTGCTGATTCTAAGTGTTGGACGGCGGCAGCCTAGGGGGAAAAGGAGTGCTTAGCTCTGGCCTCTTAGCACTGCGACAGTGTGCTGCCCCTTCTCATCCCCCACAGCTCAACTGCCTCTCTGGAAATGATCAAAGGATTCTTGTTGAAGGTCCCCCAAGATAATCTTAGATCTGTGGTCATTCTAAAAATGTAGATGTATTTTATTTCCTCTCATTTAAATTAATAATTGAAAACTCATATGAAGGAAGTACTGTTTGTTTCATGTTTCAAGGAACAAACAACCTCATATTACACAGCTAGTAAAGAATAGAGTCGGGATTCAAATCCATATCTTTCCAATGCCAGAATGTCGCTTCTTAATAATATTATTACTAATAATAACAGCATCCACTTATGTAGCACTGACTGTGTGCCAGGCTCTGTTTTAGCTATATGTATATATTTTTCCATGCAATCCTCATAACAACCCTATGAGATAAAGATTATTATTATCCCCATTTCACAGGGGAGAAAACTGAGGCATAGAGAAGGAGACATTAATACGTGGCAGAGCCAGAATTCAATTCCAGGTAGTCAGGTCTTCAGTCTGTACTCTTAATTACAACTTCTACTACTCCCTTCTGTCACCCCCTACTTTTGAACATCTACCAAGTCCTGATAATTCTATTTCTTCAGTATGTCTCAAATATGTCCACTTTTCCTTATCCCTGTTACCACTTCACCAATCCAAATCACCCTCATCTCTTGCCTAGAAAATTATATTTCCTAGCTTTTCTCCTTGCCTCTAGTCTTTATTCCTTTGTTTCTCCATATATCATGGAACCTTCTGCTTAAACCTTTTCTGTTAGATAGCAGGATATCTGGATAGATAGCAGGATATGTGATAAAGCAAGTATAGTGAAATGTTAGTGGTAGAATCTATCATTTCAACTTTTCTATATGTTTGGAAATTTTCATAATAAAATAAGAAATAAACCTTCTATAATTCTCATTGCTCTTAGAATACAAGTCTAAACTTCCTACTACGGTTTACTGGGCCCCTTCAGGCCTGGATGCTGATGACTTCTCCAGCCTTATCTTAGTCACTCTCCCTGCATGCCCCTTTCTGGCCCCTATGACCCAGCCATTATGGATTTATTTCAGTTCTGTGAGTAGTCCATGCTATCTCTTGCCTTTTGGAGCAATACATGCTGTTCCCTCTGTCTGGAATAGGCCTCCTCTTTCTTATTCTCCTGGTTAACTGCCTCTGGTCCTCAGGTCTCTTCTGTAATGTCATTTCCTCTGAGAAACTTTCCCTGATTTGCCCCCAGACTGAGATATATCCCCCTGTTGTGTGTCCCCAACTCCCTCTACTTCCTTATATACTAACACTCATACTACTGATTAAAACAATTTATTCTACCATCTCTCTAAGTAGACTATGTGCTCCATGACAGCAAGGACTCTTTCATTCTTCTTTACCGACTAGCATATAAGAACAGCTCCTAGAAGAGTATGTCACATATAGTAGTTACTTTATAAATATTTTGAACGAATGAATAAGTAAATGTCTAAATGAATTATATCCCCAATGCCTAACATAGTTCTTGGTAAATAGCTGCTGACTGACATGTCCCAAATCCTCAATGATCTCATCCTCATTGAGACCATGGACAATACAAAAGCTTCTCTCTGGACTTTGCCAACTATTTCACTGTGTTACAAAGTGTTGGCCTGAATTATAGCTGGGCAGTAGTTACCTCAAATCGTGGTACATCCATTTCAACCTGTCCTTTTAGCAGCAGGGTTTGTCTGGGTGTCTCACGAATCATCACACTCCATCTAAAATGAAGTTCAAAGACAGATAGATATTTATGGTTATGTTTCATCACAGATGGGAATCAATGCTTCAAAGGTCAAGAAAGAGGTCAAAATATTTATGTAGTGGGGGAAGGCATGTTGTACGGGGTGCCCAAGCAATTTCTTGTCACCTGAACTCAAGATATACCATAAGAGGGTCCTCTGCCTCATGACTTCTATAGGCCAGTGTGATGGAAGGAATTCTCTCACAGGGTTCTCAGAGAGCAGTGATTCTCAACCAGAGGTAACCATCAAAATCACCTGAGATGCTTTTATAAAATACACATATCAAGGCCCTGCCCAAGACCTAATGAATCTTTGTGGTGAGGCCCAGTTTGGTATCTTGAAAAATCTACCCAAGAGATCCTTATGGGTAGCAATAAATCAAATACTCATATATGCCACAGCATAGAAAGTCTGTTTTTCCCTCAGGAGATAGGATGACAATATTCTCTCTTCTCTAGAGCACAGGCAATCTCATCCAGTTATTTCTACCTCCACCCCAACTTCTTTAGTTTCTTTGAAAACCTGATGAAACTAGATTTTTCTCAACAAAAAATATGCTTATATAGATAAGTGGCTATACAATTTGAAGAAAGTTCACAGAACCCTTGAAATTTATTCATGGGGCCCCAGCTCTAGGATCTTTTGGTTTTGAAGAGGAGCTTTAATGATGTTTGAGGGACACATGGCAGCCCCTAGGTTCCCAAGAGACAAGACCCCTCAAACTGGCATGCACTGATGCCAGAAAAGAAATGAGGCTCTACAAGAAAGATTAGAGTATTCCTGATTGAGATGATGTAACTGGGAATACCTGATGTGAGTCTGGAAGAGGCACAGGGACCCAGTCTTTCAGCCACTCACCTGTCTAGAATCCTCACATTAGCCTGCTCCACTCTGTTGAGGATGTCCAGAGGAGATTTTCTTTTGTTCCAGAATGCACCCCAGCCCAGGACATAGGCCAGATCATTGCCAGTTCCAAGTGGGATGACTGCCAGCTGACACTAAAAGAACAAAATGAGGTACCCTTTTCAGACAGTCCTTCTATCAAGTTTCACCCATGAAAGAACCAAGAGGATACTCTTGGAGAATAATTATGGCCTTAAAGCCATTGGTTTTAAGGGACTTCAGATTCCAGGAAGTATAAGGGGAGGATGTTTGAGTTGGGGTAAAATTTTGCCTAAAGAGTTGGACCAGGGAGCTCGGAGTAAGATGGTAGACGAGAAACAACACCACCAGCCAGAGTGTCTCTGCAAAAAAGACAGATTTTAGAAGACTGTAGAAGCAATAGGTAAGCAGACAAGCATACATCGGATGAGGGTCGGAAGGAGGGGTATCTGAGACTATGGGAGACTCCACCAGAGGAGGTTGATGAGGAAAACTAGAAGAAGTTAACACACGAGAAGCTTGGAGACCAGTGGCAAGGGTAGGTGGAGCGGTTAACTTTCCCCTCCCTTGCATCTTGGACTGCTGGTGGAATCCCCAGCAGTTAGAGAGACCTGCGGACACCAGTCCAGAGACGGCCACAGCCAGTGAGTGGTAAACCTATAGCGGACGTGGCACCAGCCTCCCAACTCCCTTGGGGCACCTCCGTATGCCAGACCTGAGCCGCATGGCAGGCACCACATTGCTACATTTTCCCCTACCTCTACCCTATCTGTGGCTGCCAAGAGAGACAATATAGCCACCAGCAGGAGGCATCTCCAGGGAATGGGACCTTCCCTTTTGGGGCCCTACAACTGACTGAGGGGTACTCAGACTGTGAGCTCCCTATCCGCGAGCCCTCCCAGGTGCTGCTGTCCTGGTGATTACAGGAGAAAGGGGCAGACCCTGAGGCTGAGAGATATCGACCCAGCTTGGGCTCCCCTTGGGTGAATTAGGACTGGCACTCCTCACCCTGGTGGGGACAGGCATTGAATTCTGGGGCTCAGAGGTCAGACCTGCCGACCAGATCCCGTGCACCCAGGTCTCGCATTGCCCAGAGCACAGAAGGCATATTTATCAATAAGCCTACTAAGCTGTGTCTATGCCTTCAGGGGAAGATCAGCGTGCTTGAGGGCAACCCTCCTCCAAAGGGGGGGCCATGTGCCCAGCCCAGGTGGTGACCCAGTGCAGGAAACATCCCGGCCCCCATCACAGCCAGGGGAGGCCCAGTGGCGTGAGGTCTGGCCTGCTGGCAGAGGCCTGGCAGAGGCCCAGGAGAAGCCACGGGAGTTGGGGAGGGTGGAAAGGAGCGAGCCCCACTCCAGACTGAAGGTCTCAGACAGCCCCACCCCCACACAAAGACTTACTGACTGAGCGGGGCCATTCCAGCCCCTCCCTGACAGCTTTTACCAGAAGCAGAGAAGAGAACATTGACCCCTGCTAATAGCATTTGTGCTGCCTGAGGGCAGGCTTAACCAATCCAGCTCTGCCCAGACTCACTCCCAGACCAGCCCTCACTGAGGTGGAAAATAAGGACATACCTGGAAGTCCCAGGGCCCCACACACCACCTGAGGCACTAGAGTGCCTCTCCAGAGGAACAAGGGCTGGATATAGGACCCAAAAACAAGAGTGTAGTTTGCTCCTCCCAGCAAGTGCCACCTACTGACAGGGAGGTCATTCTGCACACACTTTTAAGGCATCTAGTGACTCATCATACTGGGTGTGGTCAAATCTCATCCACAACACCACACACTGGCTCAGAGACTAAACAGGGTGTATCATTATCCAAACAAAAACATAAAGGTAAGAAGCAAAAAGTGATCCACATGGGAAGAAATCAGTGAAGGAACCCTGGAAATATAAAGACTCAAATGAAAAGCACACCTGCAAAGAGGAACATGAGCCCCTTAGAAATGGACATTAACCAAAATCAGACCACTAAAATAACAGAAGAATTTTGAACATGGATTGTAAGAAAATTCAATGACTTGCAAGAAAAACTAGATAATCAACACAAAGAAACCACAAAAATATTCCAGGACCTGGAAGAAAAATTCACTAAAGAAATTGAAATAATGAACAAAAATCAATCCGAACTCCTGGAAATGAAGAATCAATTCAGGGAACTACAAAACACAATGGAAAGCCCCCAAAACAGGGTAGATCAAACAGAAGAAAGAATCTCAGAAATTGAAGATAACACCCTCTAATTAAATAAATCAGTCACAGAGATAGAGCAGAGAAATAAGAGAAAAGAGCAAAGCCTACAAAAGATGTGGGATTATGGGAAGAAACCTAATGTGAGGGTTATAGGGTTACCATAGGGGGAAGAAGAACACACTCAAGGGCTGTATAAGCTATGTGAAGATATAATACAGGAAAATTTCCCAGGACTTGGTAAAAATCCAGATATACAGGTTCAAAAAGCTCAAAGGACCCCTGGAAGATTCAATGCAAAGAGGAAGACATCACGACATGCAGTCATTAGACTGACCAAAATATCAACTAAAGAGGCCTGTAAGATGAAAGAAGCAAGTAACAACAAAGGAAAGGCAATCCAAATAACGCCAGACTTCTCTACTGAAACCTTACAAGCAAGGAGAGACTGGGGCCTCATTCTCACTCTTCACAAACAGAATGATGCCCAGCCTAGAATCTTATTCCCTGCAAAACTAAGTTTTGTATATGAAGGAGAATTCAAGACATTCTCAGATGAGCAAAGACTGAGGGAACTCACCAAGACAAGACCAGCCCTTCAAGACGTACTCAAAACAGTGTTACTCACAGATCAGCACAATAAACACACATGAATGTAAATCTACTCAAAAGCTAAAGATCAAAGGCCAGTTACCACAATGGCTCAAGAGAGAAAAAAAAAAAGCAACAAAGTTCAACCCAACATAATGAACAGAAATCTGCCCCACCTATCAGTTATCTCAATAAATGTGAATGGCTTGAACCCCCCACTCAAGAGACATAGGCTGGCCAAATGGATAAAAAAATACAAGCCAAGTATCTGCTGCCTTCAGAAAACACATCTAACCTGCAAGGATGCAGTTAGACTAAAGGTAAAGGGGTGGAGAACAATATTTCAAGCAAACAGAAGCCAAAAGAAAGCCCGCGTGGTGGTGCTGATTACAGATAACTTAGTTTTTAAATCAACAAAAGTAATAAAAGACAAAGAAGGTCACTATAAAATGATGAAAGGTACAGTTCAACATGAAGACATAACAATTCTAAATATATATGCACCCAACCTAGGTGCACCCAGATTCATAAAGCAAACTCTACTTGATCTAAACAAATGGATAAACAACAACATCATAACAGTTGGAGACTTTAATACCCCACTGTCAGCACAGGACAGATCCTCCAAACAGAAAATCAACAAAGAAATAATGGACTTAAACAGAACTCTAGAACAAATGGGCCTGACTGACATTTACAGGACATTCTACCCCAAAACCACCGAATATACGTTCTTCTCATGAGCGCATGAGTCATTCTCTAAGATTGACCATATCCTAGAACACAAAGCATGTCGCAAACAATTTTAAAAATAGAAATTATAACATGTATCTTTTCAGATCACAAAGGAATAAAAGTAGAAATCAACCCTAACAGGAACTCTCATTTCTACACAAAGTCATGGAAACTAAACAACCTTCTGCTGAATGATCACTTCCTAAATGAAGAAATCAAGATGGGAATCAAAAGATTCTTTGAACTAAATGACAAAGGAGCCACAAGTTATCAAAACCTGTGGGACACAGCTAAATCAGTCCTGAGAGGAAAGTTTATTTCCATAAATGCCTATATCCAAAAGTCAAAAAGATCACAAGTATACAATCTAATGAATTGGCTCAAAGAACTGTAAAAAAAGAATAGACTGACTCCAAATCCAGAAGAAGAAGTGAAATCATTAAGATCAAATCAGAATTAAATGAAATTGACAACAGGGAAACCATATGGAAGATTAATAAAGAAAAAGTTTGTTCTTTGAAAAAATAAACAAAATTGACACACCTTTGGCTAGAAAAATTTCTAATAAGCTCCTTCGGGGACAATAAAGGAGAAATTACAACTGATGCCACGGAGATACAAGATATAATTTATGAATACTACAAAAACCTCTATGCACACAAACTGGAAAATATGGAGAAAATGGACAATTTCTTAGAAACACACCGCCTCCCTAGGCTCAACCAGGAAGAAATAGAATTCCTGAACAGACCAATATCAAGTACTGAAATTGAAACAGCAATAAAAGAATCTTCCTAAAAAGAAAACTCATGGACTACATGGTTTTACACCCGAATTTCAACACACCTTTGAAGAAGAATTGGTGCCTGTCTTGCTGAAATTATTCCACAACTTTGAGAGGAATGGAAACCACCCCAACACCTTTTATGAAGCGAACATAACCCTGATACCAAAACGAGGAAAGTATACAACAAAAAAAGAAAAATACAGACCAATATCCCTTATGAATATAGATGCAAAACTTCTCAACAAAATCCTAGCCAACTGAATCCCGTGCTTGTCAAGAAAATAATCCATCACAACCAAGTGGGCTTCGTCCCAGAGATGCAGGGATGGTTCAACATACACAAATGTATAAATGTAATTCACCATGTAAACAGAAGCAAAAACAAAGACCATATGATCCTTTCAATTAGTGCAGAAGAAGAATTTGACAAAATTCAACACTCTTTTATGATAAGAATGCTCAACAAAATAGGCATAGATGGGGCCTACCTAAAAATGATACAAACCATATATGACAAACCCACAGCCAATGTCATACTAAATGGGGAAAAATTAAAAGCATTCCCACTTAGAACTGGAACAAGACAAGGTTGTCCACTATCTCCATTTCTATTCAACATAGTTCTGGAAGTCCTTGTTACAGCAATCAGACAAGAGAGTGGAATTAAGAGTGTCCAAATGGGAGCAGAAGAGATCAAACTCTCACTCTTTGCTCATGACACATTATACCTAGAAAACCCCTTCAACCAAGAGGATTCAACCAAGAGACCCCTTGAATTGATAAATGAATTTGGTAAAGTCTCAGGATAC